AATGAATCGTAACTCTTCTCTCTGTTATTATCTTCGAGTTATCTCAATAATGTCTTTTTAATTTTTAGATTGTTTTTTACGTTTCAGATATTTATTACTTTAAGATTTGAAGAATTCTATTTAATAATTAATTATCTCGATTCCTTTAAAAGTTATATAAATATTGTCGTTTAGAAAGTTCGTGTCAATGTATACTTATTTTAATATAGTAAGTTCGTTCCGAAAAAGTTTCATTATTTTCCTTAGTAATTTTACATGTATAAAACGTGTTATTTTACATTGCATTAATCAAATAATATAAAGTATAGGAAAAGGTAATAGAGCTTAATGGATCGTATATAATACACAGTAAAATAATATAAAATAAAAAAAATATTATGCATACATGTAAAAACCGCATGTATCGTAATAAGAAATGTATAAGAAAATAAATTTTCCAGTTGCTGAAGAAGTCCCAATAAAGGGACGAAACGTCCAACTTAATTAAATTAAGTTCTACTTCTTTTCATGTCCAAGTTCCCTATGAACCTACATCATCAAAAAATTATAATTTTGGACGAGAGAAAATACTGAATAAATTATGCATACATTTAAACTTATCAATTGGAAGATAAAGCAAGAAATATTCAGGAAAATCTAATATTTTTCCAACTTTTTGGACAACCTTATGTTACAAATATCTAAATATATATCTGAATGAATTACTTTAAATGTATTGATAGAAATAATAAATATACATGAATTTTTGTTAATTATAATGTTAACAACTTGTTTCTCATTGCATGCACTTCGGTGCAACTCGAGACACGAAGTCGCATGGACTCCTCTCAGTTAGTAAAGATGCTTACGATCGAATGTAAGTACTTTATTTAAACGTCGAAGGTCAGGAAGCTCTAGTACGGCAACGCGTTGAACCCTACGACCTTCGCGAGTCTCTTCGAGAAAATATTCGAATGGGTACTTACCAACGACGCGTTGGTTCAACCGATATAAGAGTCTCCATGGAAAATTTGCATCGCATTCTCGTGAAGCTTTCGCAGGTGCCGATTGTACTACTCGGCATAGTAAGTAGATCTTCTTGTGGATCTCGTTTCTGCACCTGGTCCAGGTAACAGCAGCAGCAGTAAACGTGCAATCGTCTCGACTAATGCAAAGAAAAGAAATAGAGAGACGGAACGAAGACGATACAAATGGAAAAAGGAGAAAACAAAAATAGAAGAACTCTCCGTCACTTTCTTTCTTTTTTTCTTACGATCCCCATTTATTTTCTCCTGCCCTTTTACCAATCCTACCCCGTACTTCAGTTGTAAAACTTTTGTTGGATAATCGTATTCGGATGTATGTTAAATCAAGATGACTTATTTACGCAATGAACGTGCCGAGGAGTACATCTTAATTAAGAAAAATTATTGGAAACGTTTATTTCCAATTATAATGATATATATATAACAGAAGTACAGAAAGAAAAACGTCAATTAGAAATTCTCGTAAAAGGGATTTTTTTATTGCGATAACAAATAATCTTCGAAAATATTTCAAACGAACGTTCGTAGAATGTCTAATGATTTTTTGTTTTAATAAAAAGAAGACAGAAAAAAAATAAGTTTATCTGTCGATACGAAATTAAACTACCACCATTACAGTCGTCGTCATTTATTTCGTAAATCGTAAAAAAAGTATTTAATTGGCATCTCGTAGCCAATAGTAACTAACTCGAAATCCAATCGTAATGGGTACGATCGATAATGCAATATCGAACGCGTCCATCCTTGCGATCTAATTTTATAAAGTAAGTATTACAATCTCGACTAGGATAGATTGTGCCTGTCATTAAAGGGGTACAACTAAAGGCATGCGTGTCAGAACGAAATGTAATTAGATTGTAATGGAGAGTCGGGGGTTCGCTATCGATCGGTACTTAATTCTGGATAAATATCGGAAAGTACGTATTACAGATTGGAATATTGCGAAAATCTATTTGTATTGATAGACGACATTAAACAAGATACGATTATTCATGATTTATCTTTTTCATAGAAAGTTTAATTCGACATAACAAAATAAAAACTTCTTGTCTTATTTTTCTATCGATTCATTTCGTCCTATAATTAAAAGATAGACGTTGACGTATGGCGATTAAAAGTCTCCCTTTTATAATATATCGTAGTAAATATCGTTATATATATATTATAGAAAGCTATATATACTAGGCATATATAACATGGATCACTAATTAATTACATTTTTTATAGAGTATATTAAAAATCTTCAAGCTAAAGCTATGTGCTAAGAGACTCTATACATGCTCAATTAAAATCTATTTTATTTTCCCGTGTATCTGCGCTATTAGTCTCTCTCTCTCTCTCTCCCTCTCTCTTTCTCTCTCTTTCTCTCTCATGATTATCAAGGATCTCGATCAACCTTGCGTATAGCCGTTAATTCTCTAAAGACGTATACTAATAAAATAACCAAATGTAGTTTACCTACATGAGAACTGATGAGTAAAATAGTATCTACAACGAAAATGTAATACTATTGCATGATTACGGTAAAAAAAGAAGAAGAAGAAGCAGAAGAAGAAGAAGAAGAAGTAGAAGCAGAAGTGGTGGTGGTGGTGGAAGAAGAAAAATAAAAATAAAAAGGTATATATATATATACCTACCGACCATGCTCGTAACATGAAATACCTCGAAGCTAAATGAATTTGCGAGAAAGGAAGAATCGGCTTAACGAGGATCTATCTATCTATCTATCTATCGATCGATCCCCATGCTCGGAGGTGCTTCTTCGTGCAACTTTGATCCAGGCACACGGTTCCTCTACCACCACCACCACCACCACCTTATTTTACCTTCAACGGACAAGTTAATCGGCCGTAATTAAACGGAACGAAGTTCTTAACATTGGACAAGAAGAATACATGAGTTCAAGGTCCCTCTCTCTCTCTCTCTCTCTCTCTCTCTCTCTCTCTCTCGCTCTCTCTCTTTCTTTCTTTCAATCACCAGGATCAATTCTATTCTATAAGATTCTATCAACTATCTTGCGAAAATTCGCATCTTAAGCAAAGTGATAGATCGTCGTTTCTCTCCAACTCCCCCCCCCCTTCCTCTCCCTTCATTCTTTCCTTTATCAATCCGAGAACTTCATTAACGTTACAATGTTATGTGTCAGTAGTATTCTTCAAAGTGTTAGGTGACTCGCGAAAGTTGGAAGATACCAATACTACTACTACTACTACTACTACTACTACTACTACTACAGTAGAGCTTCCTGACCTTCCGCATAAGAATAAAGTACGTTGAATAGTTGTATTATTCGAATAGAAAGATATTCTTACAAGTGTACAATGAGTTATGCAAATATTGATTGAATGTATGGTTAGTTTTATGAGTATTTTTTTGTTTGCATTCTTACTATTTATAAATCGTTTATTATAAATAAACAACACGTTTCGAGTTTACTTACGTTAAGTTTGAATAAAATTGAGTATTAAATAAAGAAAATATTCGAATTGTAAGATTCGTGATTAATAATACAAAAATCCTTGATACATTCAAGAATAATGTTAATTTTGAATAATAAATGAAATAAAACTAAAATTTTAAGCTTGTCAAATATAAACTTAGATGATTTTAATGATTAATTCATTCTAATTAATCTTCTATATTTAAATAAAAATAACTGTCTCTTTAGATAGATAGCAAATGTTTAATAGCGTTATAGTAAAACAAGGATAAAAAAAAAAAAAAGAAAGAACAAATTACACAAGGATATATAATCACGAATGAATATGATCTCTTAGAAGAATAAAATCAAAGTTACAATTAGCACGAATAGAATATCGTTGGCTTTGCCCGTTGGGCAGAAACGTTCGACGAAATTACCCTTGAGACTTTGTTCCAACAACTCTTTGCATCGTTAACAAACTCGCAAATGGAGAACGCGCATACATATAAACGTGCTTTGGAAAAAAATCAAGTGGATGCCGTTTAGTCAGACGAGATCGAGCAATCGTTATTTAACGATCGATCCCATCGTTTGCATAGTTCGTAAAGCAAAAAAAGAAAAGAAAAGAAGAAGAAAAAGAAAAAGAAAAATAAGAAAAGAAAAATAAGTCTTTACGAAATACGATCCTGTCTGCCAGGATCTGCATAGGAATCGTACTCGAAGAAGAACGAAAATATCGTGTCGAGTAGTCGTCGTGGTGCTTCCTTAGAGGATACGTTAGACCTAATCGTACGACACAACGACGGGAGCCTCGTCGATGATTATAATGGAATGCATGTAGGAATCAATAATTCATAACGCTCATAGGTAGCAAAGAAGCCTTGGGGCGTTCTGCGAATTCTTCGAGTGGAATCACCCACGGCGATGAAAAATCCTTCTTTTGCCTTACGACTACTTTTCTTCTATCTATCTATCTATCTTTTCCTTTTTCTTTCTTCCTCCTTCTATCTTCCTCTAACAGAACGCGATACGTCACAATCGTCATTACGGATGTTATAAAACGCATCAGTCAATAATATCAAGTTTCTTAATCTCCAACTCGATATATCGTACGACAATATTTTCATTATCAAATTAACGAGTATCTTTTGAAATTTTTTCCTTGAAAATATAAATTTGATCTTTTTATAGATATATACTATATAATATAATATTATCATAGTTTTTATTGTGTTGTTTTTTTATTTTAAATGATAATACCTAATATAAATATTTTTTGTTTTATAAATTTTCGCGAATAGATTATAACTAGACGAGTTGAAATAACGATAGATATCTAAAATAATGTCGATTGTATTTTATTTTTGATTTTGATCGTTAGAATTTACGGAACTCCTGTTCCGCGTTGCGTTGCCAATATGTAAGTATATTACATTAGTCCAAATTCACGTGAAATATTCTGATATAAACGTGTTTAATGTACGTATTCGGGGTGAAATGATGTTTTCCAAGACAGATCATTTATTCTTAGAACGCCTTCAACATAAGGTGAAATGTATTTCTGTGATTTTACACATAACCTTCGTGTTTACTTTTCATTGTTGACCCCAGGTTACTCACGACCTAAACGTGTATCACTTGTAATATGAATCACTTTCTAAACGTTCGATCATACACTTTTACTTTATCGTATTATGTGAATAAACTATTATAAGTGATGCTCGTACGAGATAAAATAAAGAAAGAACTTGTCAAAGTTTCGAGGTTAAAATCAATTATTTTTAGGCACTCGAGTGTCTCGATACGTTTCCGAGTAAAGTTGTCGAATTAAATGAAATCATTGAAGAATATATGCCGGAATCGGCAAAGAATAATAGCAACAATGCGAATATAACTCATCCCAAAGCAAGATCGGCATCAACATTGTCAAGTACCAAAGATTGTAAGTTAAACAAATACTGATTTCGATGTTAATCGTTAAACGTTTGAGTAATATCACAATATCTTTGGAAATATTTTTTTATTTTCTATTAAATTACAGTTACCGCTTATTATTCTTTATTTATGTGCAATAAAAATCGCACGAAGCATGGAATTCATAAAAGACGATATCGAAGAATATACGGTGGTAATAGCACGAACATACGTCGATATCCTGGAGCCCTTGGCAGATTATTGGCATTTATTATTAGTCGATTAGCTTCCTGTGCCAAACAAATCTTATTCACGCCGTCTTATTTCATAATCGACAATGTCATACCTATGTTCTTTAAAAAGTAAGATTTATATATCAAATATTAACACATTCGCTACTACTCATTTTATTAATTACCCTTTTTTATTTGATTTACGTATCACATATATGTGACGTATATAGTCTATAAAACAAATAAATTATTCTATAGTCTAGTATTACATATGTGTGATATTTATACGTAATATTTTAACTCGTTTAATATATTTCATATACATATATATAAATTAATATTTGTAAAATATTGTATATATAAAAACAAATGCAAATAAGGCATGGTTTATAGTAGCGAACGTGTTAACGATTAAATATGATTGAATGATTACTATTTACAAAGATCAGGGTTTAAAAGCATACAATGTGGACCATCTTCCAACTGGAACTCGTCCGTATTAGAGTACACGACTAACAACGAAAACGATAACACGATCGTTGGTAATTTGATCAGCATCATGCGACCATCTGCTGTACAATTAATCACAGATATCACGATAGTAAGAAAAAAATAAATAAATAAAAAAGAAAAAAAAATCATTGAATCAAATTTAATCCAATACATTTTACAAAATTAACTTAGGAGAGGTTTGATCTTGTTTGTAGATTAAACGTTGGCTACAGGCCCTTGGCCTAATCAAAACTTCGCTCGAATCGATTGAATTGACTAATGCAACTCGTACCACCGAAACAATCGATTGTTGGTCTTACGAGTTATACTTTCATCTAAAAAATCTTCAAGTTAAAATTCTACAAAAAAAAGTATAATCTATATAAATACTATACATTATTAATAATTAATCTTATAAAAGAGAATAAATATTACAAAATATATTTTATTCAAGGCCAATGAAAAGGAATCAAAAGATTGCAACGATGTGACACACTTGAACTTGTGGCATCGCATGGTCCAACTTCGTAATAATTATATTATCCTTTACGAGACGTTGAATAATAATGACAAAATCTTGAATCTCGCATCGATGGAAGTTTCTTGATTAACGATTCCATTGTTATATATATATAATATTCTTGTGTATATAAAATAATAATATAAATTAATCAATTCAATATTGAATTATACTTAATGTAATATCCTAATGTTAATAATATCATTGAAAAAATTCTTGATTAACTTTCGAATAGAAGATATTACTTCGAAATGGAAAGATGGAAATAATGTATGCAAATAGAAGGTCCGTGGCCATGCCTCTCGCCCTTTAGCTTCGACACGAACAATCTGACATGACTCGCCATTGTCGTTAACATTTAAACGTCGTGCCTAGGAAGGGAACGTACGCTTCGCGTTGTGAATTTTTATTTAGATGATATTGCACCACCCGAACACGACCTGCAGTCACCACCACTCTCTTTCTCTCTTTCTCTTTTTCTTTCTTTATTTCTTTCTTTCTTTATTTCTTTCTTTCTTTCTTTCTTTCTTTGTTTCTCGTTTGTGGCGCGAGTTATGGCGCAACTTGCTTAACTCGAGAAAACATCGAGCAATTTGAAGAGTGAGCTATCATCGTTGCCTTTCAATCGGCGCACGTTCCTTAAGTAACGCATCCAAAGTACAAGAACAAACGTAATTATCCATCCAACTAACTCTCTTTGCTCTTACAATAGGATATGAACGCGCAGTTAAATATCCTTCGACTACTTTTCTCCCATCATTTCCATTACTTAATTTTTTAATAACGCACAATCGTAGCACGCACATTAACGAACGGATTTATCATGTTCGTAATATTACCTGTCGTTTAGGATAAAGACATCATTTAGCTTCTGTCATGTTACAATGCGTAATATACTCGATGGACTATGATAAATGATTACGTTACCAGTTACCCAGCTAATGAAAGAGAACAAGTACCGCCTTCTTTAATATCTACAATAACAATAAATATCTTTAATCGTTATTATTATTAATATATTATAACAATCTTATCAAATTTGTCATATTTAATCAAAATTTATACGTACTTTGTATGTTTAAAAATGCAAAATTTTGTCCTTGTAAGAATAAAATCGTGGAATCATTTAATCGACGTACATATATATATCGCAACAATTTTGATCTGTCATCGAAGTCTGACCACCGAAAGAATAATAAAGGTCATTCCGAGTCCAACCAGTTAACCTTTTCTAATGTCATTGATCTTTCCTTTTCTCTTTGCCAGTTCCATTCGTAAGTACGATCGACCCGACATGGATATAGTAGCATTCTTAATCATCTCCTTACGATGCGTTTATTTCAGTTTCACTAAGTTATACGAAAGAAATCGTCTCGTTGATGATTCATTCAATTTGAACGAGAGTGAAAGAGATGGAAAGATTCGTTGTATACGAAGAAGGTCGATATACCATTAATATCTTGATCCTTTTTTCTTTTTTTGATTATTTGTTCCTTTAAATAACGAAAGACAAAAAAAATAAATAACGTAATGTCGATAGAATCAATTTTCTGGTAACGAGGAAACGTTACTTCGAAGTTTCTTAAATCGATTCAAGAGATCACGATCGTGTGTTTCCTATTCGCAAATTCTCTCTCTCTCTCTCTCTTTCTCATACAATCTTTCCTCTGTCTCTATCTATATTTCGTTAGTTTATTCAACCGTTAGTTAATATTTCGAGTAGGGTATAACGAGAAAGGCTAGCGTAATATTTCCTTGGAATCTTCCGTTCCCACAATAAATATGCCATCAAATATCCTTTTCTAACTCTAAGGAGCGCCGATACCAACTTGAGAATAACTACGTCAGTGTAAACGATCATACGCTTACGGAATAACGCCATGAGAAAGTCGACCTTACCTTTACGCGTTCGCGCATCAAGAAAAAGCCTTAGACGGACCACACAGGATGAAGAAGAAGAAAAATAAAAAGAAAAAGGAAAAGAAAAAAAATTATGCTCGAGCTTTATCCCAAGCTTCTTGTATATACGCTTGGTAGCACATCTAAACCTCCTCCTCCTCTTCCTCCTCCTCTTCCTCCTCCACCCTTCACTCTCCCCTTTTTCATCTTACTTCTTATTTTCCTTCTATTATTTTGTTGTTTTTACTTTTCTCATCTCTCGTTATCGGTATATACCAGCAGGCATAATTAGACGACTGACTAAGTTCCGCAGACTTGATGACCGGAACGATCGAAATAGTTGATTAGGTATTTGCGGTGTTAACATATCGTTACATGACGTATTCGATAATTCGACAAATTGAGTCGATTTTATGATTGCACTTTCTTACATAACGTATGAACTTAAATGAACAGCAATTTCGGCAAACAAGTATCGGCAACATTATTACAAACATTATCACGAAGATTATCGTCACTCGCATCATCATTCAAAATCATATGAATACATCAAAGACGGAAGCCGATCTTCTCAAATGCGAAGAATTCTCTAATGATTCTTTTATATTCTTTTTTATTTTATTTTTTACTATAAATAAATAAACTAAAATAAAAATGTGTAGTATATAACTCTCTATTACGTGTACAATATATGCATGTATCTTTTTAAACGTCGAAACTACATTAACGATTTTTTCGTCGTATTTAACCGAGTCTTTTAGAAAATTTAATGGGATTATGAGAATAATTATCATAACCGCACGAATATTATTACTCATTTAATGAACTTTAAACGACTGAACGTGAACGTGATGCATGATACTTATAATATACTTAATACATATGTAATAAAATGCATTACTTTTTGTCAAAACTTAAAGTAACATCGGTTCGTCATACTTTGACTCTCTTATATCTTTCTTATCTCATTTAACAACTAATGCGTTTAAATTGAATCGTTAGGGTCTTTCATTCTCGAAACATACGGTTGAAAGTTTTTGGCACGCTTCTATTTCGAGAAGAGGACGCACGTGTAGAGTAAGAAACGATTTATACGTCTCACGATGTCAGAGGATAAATCGGTGACATTAGTTTCAATTCCGAATCCTTTACTCGTATTCATTTTGATGGACGGTAAGAAGACACAAATCGTTCGATCGTCGATCTCTGATATCCGTCGAGTTCTTTTTTTATATTCGACATTGACTTCGTGTGGGATCTAAGTAAAATGATCGAACTTATTTACAAACTACGTGAACTTTCGAAATTGCAATCGTACGATTTCCGATCGATAAAACTGTGGTAGAATAAAAAAATCGCACCTTTTCCCTTAGCTGGCATCTCGTATATTTAAAAGGCTGTTTATTGTTCGAAGGGAAGAAGATTTACATCCACGGACCAGCACGATACTACATGCACGTTACTCATTTGCAATTTTAAATCGGACGCGCGTGATGCATGCGACGATGGTGAACCTGTACGGCTACGACGACAACGACAACGACGACGACGACGACGACGACGGTAGGCAATTGCAACTGAAATAAAGTGCAAGGTGAATCCCTAATAAACCATCATAATTAAATTTAATTTGTGATTTAACTCGCAAATTTATCATTTAATCGAACTCGTCTAATAATAATAATAATAATAATAATAATAATAATATAGGTCGTAAATATTCAACGTTTCACAATCATGCGTATGTATGTATGTATGTATGTATGTAAGTGTGGGTGGTGTCTATGTTTTCTCGGTCTCTATCGTATCAGATACTTCTTCCTTCTTGAACACTGTTTGCTGTCTTATTCGAATGCAAAAACTGCTGGCATTCATTCGAACACCATTCGAACACTTTCCAATAAAACGACCGTGCGATTACGTATTCTATTGAAAGCCAGTCGATGTTAGAAATATTTTTAGCCTACCTGTTGTACGTTTTACAAATCTTTTTTTCCCTTTTATTTTTTATTCTTATTGTTTTTTTTTTGTTGTTTTTTTTTTCTATTTTAGAATAGGAAGACTTCTCATGAAGGAAGGAACAAGGTAGGTGTCCGTTAACAGACTAGGTAAAAGCGTTAAACGAGTGCCGACCCCAACTAACCTGCGATCTTGGTTGATAGTTGATCGCGAGTTAAGCTTCACTCCATATATAACAACCTCGAACGAAATCTCTTGTGTGGCTCCATCGTGCGAACGAACGGTAGTCACGACTCTGATTACGAAGCATGTAAAACACACCAAAGACCTTTATACCGTAAGATAGACGGAGAGAAAGGTTTAGAAGGATGCAAAGAAGGAGAGAAAGGGAAGGGCGCAAACGTCGGAGAGAGAATGAAAGATCTTAGTTCGATAAATAGGAAGCCCGAGAGAAATAAAGGTACGAGGGTAAATCATAATTAGATCCGCCATCGATCTACCTATTGGTAAACCATCTATTTTCAACCTTAACAAACATCGTATGATTTATATATATTTATATAAAAAAGAACAAAAAAAGGTTATCGGTTAACAGCTTTTTACTGTTAGCATTTTTTCTAGGATATGATCTTATCTATTAATATAAAAATAATCATATATTATATTATATTATATTCTTACACACACACAGAACGCAACAACAAAAAAATGTATTATTTTTTTCCGAATGTAAACAAGAGTAGGGATCTAGTATTATGATTGGATGGAGGATATTCGTTTATTTTTCACTGGAACGGGAAAATCTCGCGATAACCCCGTAAGGAAAGTTACCCCCTGTTTCTTATTACCTTTAGACGAAAAATCACGGATATACGATAGAAGATTATACTCGTACGAATGTAATAAAGACGGTAACGATGATCGAACGTACGTAGAGAACCGAACCGAACCGAACCGTTAGAGATAACCACGAGTTTGCTCGTGGCACTTCTTCTCGATCTTTCGCACCCCGGCGATTCAAACGACGACGTATTCCTGACATTAGAACACATCGAACGATCTCTGATTGCGGAAAGAATCGAAAAATAAAAATGCGATCGTATAATTCGCTCGTTCTTCGTATACGACTTATCATTTCTTTCTCTTTCTCTCTCTCTCTCTCTCTCTCTCTCTATTTTACTCTCTTTCTTTGGTATTCCATCGGTTACAAAGATCGATCTACGAAGATCGATAATCTTCCCTTCGCGTTCGAAGGGAACGAACTCTCTATGAAGAGTTCTCCTATCCTATCCTTCTATTTCTATCGGTATAACCTATTTGAGATTTACGAGCCGAGGTGAAAACGTCGGTAGGAGAAAACTTCCATGGCTCGTTCCACGAACGACGGACGCTGAACGGCTTGTCGAAGGACGAAATGAAGACGAGTCGAAGATAAATCTCGGCACGATTTCACGCCCACGGCACGCCCGACCGATGAACGTTTCTCTCCTTCTTTCTTTCTCTTCCTCCTCCTCCTTTTCCTCCTTCATCCACTCACTATGTACTTCCTTTTTGCGATATCACGATGCTCCTTGTTACAAGCTAGTCTTTTCTCAACCCCATTTGCGGTCTCCTCCTTCTTCTTCTTCTTCTTCTTCTTCTACTTTCTTACTCACTCTCACTCTCTCTCACTCTCTCTCTTTCTAACTATCCCTATCTCTTTCTTCTATTTTCTTTCTTCTTCCTTTAGCACGCGCTTAAGACGTTCGGCCCCAGCGGGGCCTAGATTTATTAAACGCCACTTATCGTGCGGATTAAACCACTGTAAGTCATTTATATCTTGTATTCTTATCATATTTTTACCGTCTTCGTAGGACGAGACATGTGTTCACCGTATATATCTTCTCTCGCGTTCTAGAAATGGAGATACGAATATATTCAAGTAGATCGGTAAGTTAGTTTGGAATACCGAGGACGAGGAAAATAAAGAAAGAGATAGAAAGAGAGAGAGTACCATTGAGAAACACTAAGAAGCCAGTCGAGTTAAAAGTTACTTTGATACATATATATATATAGTTATTCCGTAAGTGGAAAAGTGCAAGCGGAGCCTTACGCGGTCAGACGCTTTAGGCTCGCACAAGGGGAGAAAGAAAAAAGTAGGCAGACACGATCTGGTCGATAGCTTTAGCTGCGCGTTCGTCGATAGACACAACGAATAAATGTATATATATATATGTGTGTGTGTATATATAAATGTGTATAAAAGAAACTATGTTAGAGCATTATCGGCACGAGAATGGCACGTTGCCTGCGGTGCATGCATCGGATAGTTCGATGCAAGAACGACACACGGTAGAAAGGAAAATGATTTGATGACAATCACCAAGGCTCCCTAGTCCCGTTGTGGAGCGAAACGCAATCGTGGGTGTGTCTTTCAGTGATCTGCATCTATACTCGGGGAACAATGTGACATTATGGTAAGAGAACCGAGGCCATTGTCGTCGAAAGGAGAATACGCGTCGAGCATGTGAACGCTCGCGCGTGTATGGCGTTTGTACGTATATATATATGTTTGTTTGTTTGTTTGTTCATGTGTCTGTGTGTGTGCGTGCCTGCCTGCCTCCTTTCCGATCCTTCCGACTTCTCGATCTGTCCTTTCCAGGCTATGCGAGAAGAACGAAACTAACAACAACGAATTCGCGAACGAAGAACTTTACTTACATAGAGGTACTGTTATACTTATTTCCTATGGCTTTCCTTTAAGCTCGTCCCCGTCGGTCCGCCTTTACACGGACATAGACTACTGTCGGGCAAACCCTGACACGATAAAAGGAGCAACGATGTCGGAACGTTGTTGTTCGTTTGTTCGTAGACAATATGAGCGCAACTCCGATGCGAGCACGAGAAACAGGAATAAAGTCTCCTTTGTCTTGCACCCGCTATCTTGGTCTTTTTATCGAAATCCTCGTCGTCGAGTCGTGGTACGAGTTATAAACGTTGCATAATAACCTCTTGCGGCGAATTCATGCCCGCGCGATATAACAGAAATGCCTACTGGGGGACCCTGTGTTGCTTTTACACACAAGAGAATACTTCATTTTATCTATTTTTCTATGATATTTCTTCTTATGTTAGTTTCTCTCTCTCTCTCTCTATCTTTCTCTCTCATGAGTAACACTAATTTGGATCGTTTGGAAATAAGTATAATGCTTAATAAATGCTTACTCAACTTAACTTTGCTAGCCGGAAGTCAAATACCTAGGGAAAATTAGGTCCGTCTCGATGCTGAATGCTTTCTAAGACCCGGTGCACGGTTACAGAATCCCCCGTTTTTAGAGATTGTGTTTGTTTTTTCATTGTTTTTTGTCCTTTTCTTTACGGATGAAATAATTTATAATCCACAAGCGAGCTGCCACGAGAGTCTCGAGTTTCAATTCGCCTTCTAATCGTGCTCACGTGTCTTCATCCGGGCAAGAGTCGGACGCAATGCGCGTTTATTAACCAGGTGTCCGTGTATTATTTTCCATTTAGAACATGTTCGAACTACTTGTGAAGGAAAGTTCAACGGTTAAAGTTAGAAACAATGCGGTCTATGATTCCTTGATAGTCGAGTCACGAAATTTGATCGACTTCCGCAAACATTAGGCGTTATGTT